GCGCAGGGGAGCTGGTTTTTCTCGACACCACAGGGGGTGCGCAGGGGGTGGTCTCTCAGCTCATCCACGACACTGGCGCAAAGCCTAGCAGGCGTGGCACTTTCTCGACACCACAGGGGGTGCGCAGGGGGTGGTCTCTCAGCTCGGCCGCTATCCACGACACTGGCGCAAAGCCTAGCAGGCGTGGCACTTTCTCGACACCACAGGGGGTGCGCAGGGGGTGGTCTCTCAGCTCGGCCGCTATCCACGACACTGGCGCAAAGCCTAGCAGGCGTGGCACTTTCTCGACACCACAGGGGGTGCGCAGGGGGTGGTCTCTCAGCTCGGCCGCTATCCACGACACTGGCGCAAAGCTTTGCAGCCGTGGCACTTTCTCGACACCACAGGGGGTGCGCAGGGGGTGGTCTCTCAGCTCGGCCGCTATCCACGACACTGGCGCAAAGCCCAGCAGGCGTGGCACTTTCTCGACACCACAGGGGGTGCGCAGGGGGTGGTCTCTCAGCTCGGCCGCTATCCACGACACTGTCGCAAAGCCTAGTAGGCGTGCACTTTCTCGACACCACAGGGGGTGCGCAGGGGGTGGTCTCTCAGCTCGGCCGCCATCCACGACACTGGCGCAAAGCCTAGCAGGCGTGGCACTTTCTCGACACCAAAGGGGGTGCGGGGGTGGTCTCTCAGCTCGGCCGCTATCCACGACACTGGCGCAAAGCAGCCGTGGCAGCAGGGGGTGCGCAGGGGTGGTCTCTCAGCTCGGCCGCTATCCACGACACTGGCTTTGCAGCCGTGGCACTTTCTCGACACCACAGGGGGTGCGCAGGGGGTGGTCTCTCAGCTCGGCCGCTATCCACGACACTGGCGCAAAGGCTAGCAGGCGTGGCACCTTCTCGACACCACAGGGGGTGCGCACGGGGTGGTCTCTCAGCTCGGCCGCTATCCACGACACTGGCGCAAAGCCTAGCAGGGAACATTCGCGACGAGGGCTCAGAACGCAGGATTGTGCATATATATATATATATATATATATATATATACACACATACATATATATATATATATATATATAATACATAAGCAAACACATAAGATTTAAATTAAGTATGTGGGGTTCCTCGGTAGCGTAATTGGAACACTTCTGGCTGAGACGGCCTTGTTCTAACGCATCGGGTTTATGTTCTAAGAACCTTGCTTCTGCTACTAAAACATGCTTGGGTTCCGAGTAGATGTCGGGGTAGGCCTATAGGAATGCCGGGACGGACGGTCCCTGCTCAACTCTGCAGCTGGGCCCGAGGCCAGCGCGCCCAACTGCTGGGTGCCGACGGCCGCCGCCGCGGCCGCGCCCAGCCCCAGGGCCGCAGCGGCCGGCCTCTGGCGGCGCCCCGCCCGAAGGGCCCGGCTAGGGCGCCCGGCTCCCGCGGGTGGCGCCGGGCCCATCCGTCGCGGGCGAAAAGCTTACGTGTGAGGCAGTTGTTCGATGGTGCTGGGTTCGAGGTGAGAGGCGAGAACTTCGAAAAGGTTCTTGCCTTTTTTGAGATCCAGGGGCCGTCATCGAGCGGAATGTCGAAAACGGATCCTGCGCGAAAGACTCTACCAATCGATGGGCCCGGCTACGGCGCCCCGCTCCCGCGGGCGGCGCAGGGCCCATCCGTCGCAGGCAAAAAGCTCACGTATGAGTTATGTTGCCCCCATCGTACTTAAGGACCACATCCCAGACATAATGTGGAGAACCCCGAACCGTATCGAAGCAGTGTCGAACGAGTATCGCCTCTCAGGGCCCCCCCACATGAAAACCCGTCAGGTCCGGTACTTCTTGGTGCTCGAAATTCTCTCTGGCGATCAAAACTAAAATAGGTTGGAACATCATAACGCGGGAGGCAGTTTTCGACGGTTCTGGGTTCGAGGTGAGAGGCGAGAACTTCGCAAAAGTTTTCGATATGTTCAATACCCAGGGGCCGTCTTCGAGCTCCAGGACTGTCGAAAACGGATCCTGGGCGAAAGACTCTACCAAATGGACCCCGAGAAGGGTCCAAATACCGATGTTGAGCTGATCTTGCAAGGCAGATGAAGCCATATCCGTATGCGCAGCCTTTGCGGACCGGGCCCCTGGGCCGCGACCCTGGGGATGCCCCGCGCGGATCGTACAGTACAACCAAGGCCAGAAGAACCTCCTCAAACAAAAACATCAAAGAGAGCATCCAAGGGTACAGTACAATAAGAGCTCGACCCCAAGGAACTTCCCACAAGAAACCGAACCCTGAGACCCCGGGACGTCCTTTGACTTTTGGTGCGGGAGCGTCACGTTTTCCATCACAAGAACATCGGAACCCAGGAAACCCAGGGCACCCTGGAGGCAAGCATGGTGTTTCTTGGCATGGGTCTCTTTTGTACTCACCTCAAGGACTGGGACCCCGGACCTAAGCAATCAGATCATCGAACAACTGTTGCGTTGGCGGCGAGGCAGGGGTCGTCTGCGCTAGCGGAAAGGCCCAAGCGGGTGTGTCGTTGAAGCGAATTGTGCCACCATGCAGGAGGGATGAAGAGGCGGAGCACGCGGCCGAAAGAGGGTGCAGAGGGAGCGAGCCGCTCAGGGGGACGGGTCACGCCAAATCAGATCATAGAACAAACAACTGACTTAACATGAACTGTTGGAGATCATCGCAGATTTCTGGAGATGACTGAGAGACCATTCCGTGGGCCACACTGCCATAGGAGTGTAGAGGACATGGGTCGCGAAACAGAGGGCGCAAGGTAGAGGCCTCCTGCCATGGGGTCAGAGATGGAGTCGGATGATCGCCCCGCATCGCTGATTGCATCGGCGAACCCTCCGGCCCCAACTACTCGGACCCGATCTGGGAGGCCTAGAATTCGGAAGGGTCAACCTACAGTCGAGGTTGATTGGCGAGGACACTCGAGAAGACACAAAACCCTTTTGAGGGTCACACTGCCATAGGAATGTAGGAGACAAGGTTCGCGAAGCACAGGACACAAGTCTACCCTTAGGTCGGGCGTGTTTCCCTACAGGCAGATTTCTAGCGAAAAGCATGACAAACAAAAACATGCTCAACAAAAGTCCGAGATAGTCAAAACATCATCCCCATACTATTGTTGACTATTTTTGAAACGGACAGGCCCGACTGAAGGCTACCTTGGGCGGCGCGCATAAACGGGGGTGGGAGGCTCCTTAGAAGAAGGCTGCTTCTTAGAAGGTCATCGCCCCACGTCTACAGAAGAGGCCCGCGCCTCCGGTGTTTCTAAGAATCCTTCCCCCCTCTTGCACTTGGCCGAACCCTTGATCTGGCAGGGTCGACCTTAGAAGAAGAAAACAAACACATAAACGTAAACTTTTGGCGCTCCGCGCGGATTTGCGCGAATCCCAGAAATCCGCGCGGAGCGCCAAGAGTTTATGTTTATGTGTTTTTGTTATTCCTCCTTCGAGACCTACTGATCAGCCTCGACTGCACTGATCAAACTCGACGGTACCGAGCGCACAGCTCGAGCCAGGACGGCTGCGGAGGGCCGCCCGGCGGCGCAGGGGCTCCACCGAGGAGCGGGGCGCCAGTCGAGCGCGGGGGGGCACAGCCCCAGGGTCGTCGACCCCTCCCTACAGGCGGCCACGACGCCCGGCTCGCCCTCCAGACAGGCTCGCATCGGGGAGCAGAAGCACGTCGGGAGGCTGTTGGCACGTCTCGGCCTCCGGGGGGGCCCTCGCCGAGCCGCCGGACCGTCAAAGAACGACTCAGGATGCAAGACCAGCCCCGGGGAGTGGGTCGGGGATCCCATTGGAAAAATCAAAACGTCGCAGGCATGGGCCAGTTTCTTGGAGAAGGTCGAAGAGGCAGAGGTCAAGGCCACCAGGCTTATAAAACTGGCTGCAGCAGTGCTTCCGTGTTTTCAGAATGACAAGAGGTGGTCCAGGCCTCCCCGTAGCAGGCGGCCCCAGGATAAGCGGTGCAGTAGTTTTCATGAATGGGCCTCCACGTCGGTGGGCCTCCAGTGCAAGCAGTGTTTGATTGTTGCGCCTCCTGGGGACTCGCCGCCGATGGACGGCTGCAAGGGCACCCCTGCATTCTTGCGCAAGCTTCTCGGGGATGCCAAGGGTCACCAGGTTGTTGCGGTCCAGGGCTCGGTTGCTGGAGGTGGCTCTCAGATCCCTGGGATCCCCACGAGGCGAGCGGTCCAGCAGTTCCTCTGTGTTCAATGTGGGGGGTGGTCTCAGGGCCGCGGGGCCAAGTTGGGCAAAGTATGCCTCCCCCCCACAAAGAAGGGGATTGAAATTCTCCAGGCTTTCAGGAAAGGGCTTGGTCCCAATCCACGGCTTCGATCGGCCATCGATCGAGTGGTTCCGTTCAGCCAGGTGGAGATCCAGGCAACCACTCGGGCAGAGGCTCGGGTGGTCACTAGGGTGCGGATGACGGCGGCGGCGGCGGCGACCACGACGACGACGAGCACGTCCGCGCCGCAGGAAGGTTCCTCGGCGCCTCAGGAGCGCCCCGCTCAGGAGCCGCCGTCCTACGAGCGCCGCCTGTCGGCGCTTTTCGACAGGATCAGGGCTAAGGAGGAGGCCAGGCGAGGAACGCCCACGCCTCCCGCCTTGCCCTAACCGTTTGTCTTTTCCTATTGTGTAGTCATGTGACTTGACCTTATGGCTGTTCTTCTTCTTCTTCCTCCTCTTCCTCCCCCTCCTCTCCCTTCTCCCTCTTTTCGTTGGCCAGACTTCAACCCACATAGATTGCAGCGCCAATCCTTCTACTCGGAGCCGTCAAAAACCTGCTCGGGACTCGGGATCAGAACAAAGCCCCAGAGTCCAGAGCCTGGTTTTGACGGCTCAGAGGAGGAGGATTGGCGCTGCAATCTATGTGGGTTGAAGTCTGGCCAACAGAAAAAGAGGGAGGAGGGGGAGGAGGAGGAGGAGGAGGAGGCTCGGAGAAGGACGAGGGGGAGGAGGAGGAGAAGGTCCTGCTCCTCTCATGCCCTGCTCCTGCTGTCTTCGCTGGTCCACTGGCCTTCCACCCCAACACTGCGACAGGAGGGGCCCGTCCTGGAAGACCTGCTGCAGCTTGCGCGCGTGCCACTTGCCTCGTCACCCTGGTCCTCCTTGCCCTTATCTTCGCTCCTGTCGTGGTCAGTGTTCTTCTTGCCGACGTCGTCCCTTCCTCTTTGGCTGCGTGGGCGTTTGGGTTCCTTCTCCCTCCCCTCGTCAACGTCGGCCAACTCCCTGTCATCGGACTTGCCAGCATCCCTCTGGATGTTAGTTTCCTTCGGCCGCTCCCTCTTGTCACTGACCTTCACCGCGCAATCATCATGTTCGCGGCCATGTTCTGTATCTGACCTCTTGTCGTTGCCGTTCGCTTTCTCTACGTCTTTGGCCTTACCCTTCTCTTCATCGTTGACGTCATCAATCCGCCACTGTGCCTGCACGGAATGGGCGTGTTAGAATGGTGGTCTGATGCCTGGTCATGTAGTCAAATGTCTCTAAGGCCGCCATTCCAATCTCGAACCGCGTATCGTTAACATCCCCCCCTCTCTGGAACCGATTTTGGGCAGCGTTGCATACCAGAACAACCTTGGGCTGCAATCACCGCCCCCCCCCGTGTGGTGATCACCTTTCCCTCCCCTGGAAGTGACAGTCCGCCCACGGATCCCTCAGTGCAGGATCAAACCAAGATCCCAATCAGATCCCAACAAGACCCCAACAGGACTCCAGTACAAGCCCAAGGGGATCCGATCCCAATAGGACTCCACGATGGGACTCCCCCGTAAATATCCACTATGGGTTTTCCCCGTCGGGTTGCCCTATGGGACTCCCTTGGCCCCCCTAAAAAAAACAAGCCTTCCTCATAGGACTCCCCTGTACTGAACTAATCAGGGAGGGCTCCCGCACTGGACCTCCATAGAATTCCAATGCAGAGCCCCTGCATTTATAGGACTACCCCAGCGGACTTCCCCAAAAGACTCCCAATGCTGTGTGCCTCCCAAGCAGGACTCCACCATCGGTTCCCCCCCAAAAGGGCCCCATATCACGCTTCCTCTCCTCCCGATCCCGCTCCATGCCAAGTTTGCGTGGTGCCGGTGAAAACGCAATAGGGGTTCCTCTTCCGCCCCCCCCCCCTCGGAATGATCCGCCATCGTGATTGCAACGGTTGGTGTGCATCGTGCGCTTTCGCCTTCCGCGAAAAAAACAATCAAGCCCCCCAGACGCATGGAGCCCAAGATGCGTTCATGTGTGTGGCCAATTCGTCCTGCGTGGTTTTGCCTTCCATGCAGAAAACGGCCCCCGTTACAAGAAAGCTTGGGGGTCCATGAACCCTCCTCCCATGCCCCCTCAAAACCACTCCCCGCGCCCGCCCGAGCGCGGTGGCGGAATCTCGCTGCAGCGCAGCTGGATTCAATTCGTTATTCTGTCGGGATGCTAAACGATGCCACTCGGCGGTTCCCGCCCTGAGATTCACGCATTAATGTGAGTGCTAGTGGTAAGCCCAGGGTGGATCGACCATTGCAGCCCGAGGTTACGGATGAAACATTCGGGAGCCGAAAACACAGCCCCTCCTCCTCGAGAGGGGTGGGGTCAAAAAAAAAAACACCCCCAGAGGGGCGCCCAAGTGGCCGCAAGAGGCCGCCAAAGGACATCCAAGGGGCCCAGGGACGCCCCAACGAGGCGCCCAAGACGCTCCAGGAGGCCCTGAAGACCGTCAAGAGGCCCCCAAAACGTCAGCAGATGTTGTCTCCAAGGGCCACCCGAGACGCCCCAAGAGGCCCCCAAAACTGCCAGGAAGCCCTCAAGACGTCCCACGAGGCCTCCAAGAGACTCCCAAGAGACTCAGAGGTGCGTGCAAGAAGCCTCTGTGTGACGGAGGCTCCCCGAACTTTTCAAATGATGACACGCACCACGGAGAAATGCAACTCCCATGAGAATCGTTCCTGGATGGGCTGGTAATGATTATTTTTGTTGGTCTGCGGGCTCGCGAAGCAGGTCGAAAGCCGTCCGAACACTAGTCGGGCCGCGACTAGGCAGCAAGAGAAGAGAGGCAAGCGAAGCGAGCGCGCGGACAGCCACTCAGAAGAAGAGCCAGAAACGAAACTCCCAACCCAGTGGCGTGGAGATCCTGGTGGCGCTGGTAGTGATACGCGAAGCGTTGAGGATTGAAATTCCTTCCTGCCAGGCAACTTGGCGGGGTTTGCCGCAGGCAGCTAGATACATGTGTTACCTGTCTCCTTCGGTTCGCCTTTATCTTTATCCTCAGTGTTGGTATCACCGCCCAAAACTGTTATGTCCTTCTTGTCTCGGCCCTTGTGCTTTCCATTGTATGTATCCTTACCCCGGTCCTTATCCTTACTTTTTCCGTTTGCAATTCCTTTGCGCTTCTCCTTGCCGCTCTCTGATTGCTTCCCTGTGTCGTTGGCCTTATGCTTACGTTTGTTGTTCGATTTCTCTTTCTGCTCCGAGCAACTGCGGCTCGGTTGTCTATCCTTATTCTTTTTGGCGGTTTTGTCCTTGGCCTTCTCATTCTCCTCATGCTCCGAGGAACTGCGTTTCGGTTGCCTCTCCTTTTGCTTTTTCTTCTTCTTGCCTGCCGTGTCCTTGGCCTTCTGACTGCCCTCCTGCTCCGAGGAGCTGCGGCTCGGTTGCCTCTCCTTCTTCTTCGTCGTCTTTTTGCCTGCTTTGCCCCTGGCCTTCTCCTCGTCCTTCTGCTCCGAGGAACTGCGGCTCCTTGGCCTCTCCTTCCTCTTCTTGCCTCCTTTGCCCTTGGCCGTCTCCTTTTCCTTCTGTTCCGAGGAACTGCGGTTCGATTGCCTCTCCTTCTTCTTTTTACCTGCTTTGTCCTTGGCCTTCTCCTTGTCCTTCTGCTCCGAGACCGAGGAGTTCTGGCTCGGTTGCCTCTGCTTCTTCTTTTTGGCTAATTTGCCCTTGCCTTTATCCTTTTTCACCTTTGTCCTAACAGCAACGGGGCGGGGTTCGAGCTAAACAAGCAAGAGACAACACGAGAACCAATGTTCCCCAAGCAGTGCCTGCACTGAAGGGGTCCTAGCGAAAGTTGAAGGATTTGGCGAAAAATCCCCACCGATTTTGGTGGCACGTTGGGTTCCCAGGTTCCCGGGTTCCCGGTTCCGGGTTCCCCGGTTCCGGGCCGATTTCGGAGGGCGGCGAGTTTCCCGGGTTCTCGGGTCCCTGGTCGATCATCTTATCGATCGGTCTCACCATCGATCTCATTACCGACTTCTCGACGATCTCATCATCGATCCCACAATCGATCACACTACCAATCTCACAATCGAACTCACTAGAGATCGCATGAGCGATCTCGCGATCGATATCACGATCGATCTCATTGAACCGAATTCACTATCGGTTTCACGATCGGCCTTACAACCGTCCTCACTATGGATTCTACGATCGATATCACTATCGATCCCACAATCAATCTCAAGATCCATAATGCCAATTTTGAAAGCATCCACTGGCTGAGGTTTTCTCATGCGAGTGTTTAATCCGTCGCGATAGCTGCCGAGACCGCTTCCTCCCCGCCCCCTGGTCAGGTCACGGCTCGCACTGGCGCCATGTGGGAAGTAGCCATGCCCACGCATTCCCAGGCGGCGCCGGCGAGAATCCCACCAGCCCTCTGGGCGGATGTGATTGAGAGAACCCATTATGTTCCACCCCTTTCTTCCCCTTCGGGGAAGGGTTTATCACTGTTCCCGATTACTGAACACCCCGTCCCCCAGGCGACTGGTTGCCAACCCCAAACCATGAGGGCCCCCCCCACCATCGCTTGTAAAATACCAGCGGCGGTGGCGGCGGCGGCGGCGCGGCGGCGGCGGCGGCGGCGGGCGGCGGCGGCGGCGGCAGCAGCTGCGGCGGCGGCGGCGGCGGATTGGCCCCCAGTAGCTGCCCATCCAAAGACGACTGCTGAATATGCTGAGGCTCAGGCCAGACTCGGGGGCTACGTATGTGTTGGGAGGGCGGGTGGGAGTGAGCGAGACGGCTTGCGGGCGGGGAGGGAGACTTGATCACTGTTCCCCATTCAAAATACACCCCTCCCCCAGGCGGCCGGGAACCAACACAGGTCCATGAGGGCCCCTCCCAACCGTCCCTTTTTAAAAACAATGCAAAAAAACACTCTGGCCCCACCATCCCTGGTAAAAACACGATGCAATACTCACTCGTTATCCAAATTCGGAGCATGTGCAGCGAACCCGATGCGGCCCCCCCCCCCCACCATCTTCGTCACAAAACAATGCAGGGTGCACTTGGCGGCGGCGCCGGCTGCGACGGCTGCGGCGGGGGCAGCGGCTGCGGCGGCTGCGGCTGCGGCGGGGGCGGCGGCGGGGGCGGGGGCGGCGGCGGCGGCGGCGGCGCACCCGGCGGCGGCGGCGGCGCGGCGGCGGCGGCGGCGGCGGTGACGGCAACGACTGCGGCGGCAGCGGCTGCGGCGGCGGCAATTTGGCGGCGGGGGCGGCGGCGGCGGGCGGCGGCAGCGGGCAGCACGGTGGCGGCAGCAGCGGCGGACAGCGGCGGCGGCGGCGGCGGCGGCGGCGGCGGGCGGCGGCGGCGGCGAAGGCGGCGGCGGCGGCGAAGGCGGCGGCGGCGGATTGGCCCCCAGTAGCTGCCCATCCAAAGACGACCGCTGAACATGCTGAGGCTCGGGCCAGACTCGGGTGCTACGTATGTGTTGGGAAGGCGGGTGGAAAATGAGCGAGACGGCGTGCGGGCGGGGAGGGAGACTCTTGACCCCTCCCCCTACCCCCTCCCCCTGAGCCTTGAGGTGGGGGGGGGGCGCGGGTGGTTGGAGCGTCTATTTTGGCCTAAGATGGAGCCGAAATAACCCAAGATTGCTCAAGATGATCCCAAGATCGCTCAAGATAGCCCTCGATGGCTCAAGATAGTTCCTAACAAGCCTACACGAGCCTCTAAGACCGCCCTAAGACGGCCTCAAGTGGCCACGGAGCCTCCCAAGGACGCTTCCGAGAGGCCCAAATCCTTCAACAACTTAGCGAAAATCACTATAATTTGCATTGCGGCCTTTTCGCTTCCAATGAGCTCCTGAAGCGTCAAAGTGGCCCAACAATTGCAGAAGAGAGCCCCAAAACAGGCCCCACATATGCCCACGCCTGGCCCAAGAGCGCCCAAAAGTGCCCCAAGAGCGGCCCAAAAGGACCCCAAGAGGCGTCGTTCCGGGATTCCGAAGGGGGGGGCGTAACTGACGCCGCGCTCCTGTTTGAGCCGGCCGTGGCCTCCAAC